GGGGGAGGAGGGGGGGGGGTGAGAGAGAGACCTTTAAAGATAGAAAACCTCAGCCCCACCATGGTTGGGGCTGAGGTAGGAACAATTATGTGTTTTCTAGATGCCCGGAAATGGCACTCTAAGATTTTCTTCATTTTTAAAAGATAATTTTGAAATATTTACGGGTGCCCGGGCTGCCTGGGTTCCATTTGAGAACGCCACTTTGCATGGGGATCCTCTAACGTCAGGTGACCTAGGGTTTTAAAACAAATATTGCTAATTAGAGCATTTTTAAACGAACAGATTCTTGAAACTACAAGGAAGATATTTCAGAAAACTGTGTTGGATCAAGAAATTAGAAATAGAGGAGGGGTGGGGGTAGAGAGGAACATTCACAGATAGACACCAGGCTTTAGCCTGACCATGGTTAGGGGCTGAAGTAAGAAAAATTAAGATTATGTCACCTCTAGATGGCCGGAAATGGCCCTCTCAGAATTTGAATATGATTTTCTTTTTTTTTTCTCTATTCTTTATAAATAATTTTGAAATATTTACCAAAGCAAGCGGCCGGGCAGTCTGGGTTCCCGTTGAATCCGCCACGGTACTGGCGAATCCCCTAAAGTTCCTAGGGTATTAAAACAAACATTGCTAATTACGGCATTTCTGTAAAAAGATAAACTAAGAGATGCTTGAAACTACAAGGAAGATATTGATGAAAACAATAATTAAGCCAAATATATTTTCAATCGTTTTGTTGTTCATGTGAATCTCTGATTGATTATTACATATATAACAATACTAAAAACACAGTGTCATTTTAGTGTTGGGCTAGTTTCACACTAATTACATTTACTTTGTTGGCAAAAAAGGTATAAGGCACTGCTGCGGAAATCAAACCATACCAAATTGGTTAATTCGTATAATTCACTAAGTTCAAAATTTAAGTATGATTTGTTAGAAAAGTGGTCAACATTTTATTTTCATTACTCACCCTGACCTTCGCCACGGACAAACGATGAGAAGGTCTGAATTCCGCGCCTGGTTGACTACCATGTCAAAAAAAGAGGCTTATGGATGTTATTGGCGATAAAACCCAACAGACGATTGCAAAATAACATAAATGTAGCTGTGTTTACCTCTTTGATTTAACATTCTTCTACCCATGGACGCAGATCATGGGGGACACGTCCCTTCTAACATATTTTAAGTGGGGTTGGTCCCTTCACTTTTCAACCACAATGTATTTTCATAAGTAAAGCAGATGCCTGAGAATTGTGGAGATGAACGGAAGAGCGATGTATAGCCAGAGTACATTACCGGGACATCTTATCTTATTAGCTAGCAAGATACCGGTATCGCTGCCTACAAAGATCAGCTAGATCTCTATAGTTGGCATCGCTGATAAAAGATCATGGTGATGTGATGAGGAATTATTTTACTAATATAAGTGTCATTTCCGGCATTCTAGAGGTACTATTTCCTCGAAATTTTCGCACATCGGCCCCAGTCATGGTGGGCTGAGATGGGTGTGAACTCACTGCCTTGGTATAGTAAAGTAAATACATTAAACACAATATTTTTAAGTTTTATACATCACACATACTATTTTGATTTCTGATTGCTGGAAATCAATGAAAAAATATGAGAAATTTTTTGGCGCTTCGTTTTGACTATAAAGGTGATGTGAGGATGATGAATTTTACTCTATAAGAATGGCATTTCCGGAATTCTAGAGGTACTATTTCCTAAAATTTTCGCACCTTATTCCTAACCATGGTGGGGCTGAAGTGGGTGTGGACTCACAAAATGTCACTCCACTTTTCAAAATAGATATGCGCCATTGGTTTTATAGTTCTGTTTACATGGTCAAGATCTGAGTAGGGTAACCCCTTTGTCATAATGCACTTTGGCTTGTTTGAAGCACGCAGTAAAGATTGAAACCACGGAAAGTAACAGTGATCGATTTTTGGCGCTAACTAGGTCTTTTCTATTTATGGCCTATATCGTCTTGCTCATTTTTGTTTTACTTTATTGAAAATATATTTATTGAACTTATATTATGTTTTAAATATTTTCTTTGTCATTAGTTTGTTTTTCCTCACTGACCAAAGCAAATTGTTTCACGGGCCAAATTTGGTCCGCGGACCGTTTATTAGGAACCAGGGTCCAACACCTTTCAGACTTACGGAAGTACTCATCAAGTTTACTGGAGTTTCTTAGTGCCCTTTCATACACTTTCCCAATTAAATATGATTTCGGTATCAAAAAATGAATTATATCATCCCATTTAACATTCTGATAGGACCTTTATTCAAACATACTAGAAACAATGTACGCTGCTCTCCTGTTTAAATAATAATGTTTGTTCTGATACATTTCCTCATACTGTCATGATAATCAGACAATGGCAGGATTAATCTTAAATAACGTGTTTTTAAGAGTGCTTTTCCCTAAAATCGTAATTTTATATCCAACACTTCTGCAAACATTTGTACAAGTTTTTTTTTAAACTTAAGGTTTCGTCGATTATATAACCAAGCTACCTTATATTATTACAAACTTGTTTGTTTTGTGTTTTAATACAATGTTCAGTGTTGTGTTTGTAGTTCTAGATCATGACGTATTCGTTTCCGTAATGTTGCAAAATCTCCCATAATATCATTAAAAAAAAACCAAAAAAAAAACAGGAACTTATCATCCACATCTTGAGCCGTTTATTAATAACCTTGCAAATATGTTACAGTGGAATGAAACGCTAAATGATCAACGTTGACTAAGTCATGATGGATAAGAAAAGTACCGGTAACTGATTGTTCATGAACCTTTCACTATAGTTAATAGTGTAGTTTTATATAGCGCACATATCCATCTAATGTAAGATGCTCAGGGCGCTTGATATGTGGACTAGGAACTCGATCAATGACTTTCTTCGCCCCTAAAGTCCCTTTGTGCCTGTGCTACCCGGTAACCCGGTATCAGCAACTCTCGTCGTCCACTACAGGGGCTGTCTGTTCCAGTACACCGGGGAATCTCCTACTCGTCTCGAAGGATGTACTGGGTTCTTTATAGTGCACACGAGCCTTTGCTCTTATACTCTTCACTATTTTCTTTCTAGAATCGGTGTTGTCCGTGAAATCTTCAAATCAATTTGCATAGTCCAAAGGTGATCAAAACAACTCCAAAATGGACAAATAACACCTTTCTAAATCTAATGAGTTATAGGGTGCTTTTAATAAGGGCCCATTTGTAAGACATCATGTAGCCAAAAATCAGTGTCGCCTGAACTGTTTTTTTTTTCTTCCTTTCTATTTTTCTTCACCTGATGACAGGTAAGAAGGGTATAATACTACTGGCACCACATGTAAGCTTCCTACTGATAGAACAAAATATAAGAAAGACCAGTCAACATACCTATAATAAGGCTACACGAGTACCCCCAAGGAGCTTGCGCCCACAATAGCCCCGAATCATACACCGACTGAGCAGTACCATTGATAAATCCACCGCCGACCCAAGTAGCTGAGGACATAGAGGCATTGATTTGAAATATAATTTTCATAAAATTGTTATTAGTATTAATAATAAAAATCATTGTTATTTTTTAAATATTAATTAATAATAATGATAATGATAACATCAATAACAATAGCAAATAACAATAAAAGTAATAATATAATAATAACAATGATAATATTAATAATTGAAGAAGCCCTTTATAAAATTCCATTAACAATAGATACAAATCAATGCAAAATAAATGAGAATATTTTAAAAAAGCCAATAGTTAAAATCATTAAAACTGCTGTTACTACTACTACTACTACTACTACTACTACCACCACCACCACCACCACCACCTCCACCACCAAGGACTTATAACTATTAAGTCTACTACACTGATAACGATGATGATAATAATTTTATTTTATTCATCTATAGCAAACACAATATGTAAAATAGCAATAAAATTAAAATAATAAAGATGAAATGCACCCTCAAGAAACCTCATAGGACTTATAATAGGACCACAAAAATAGGCTAGTTACTTGTTAACAACATTGACTGAAATAATATAATACATAAATAATGTACAATAAATGCTCAAATAAGCGCAGCGGCGCTTATAGAATTTTTTGGAGGCTGTAGTGCGGCACTTGTTCGAGAACGGGGCTTATTTAAAAAAATTTGCGTGACGCTTTCCATGCCCGATATTGATAAGGTGACCCTCACCTGTCATGGTAAAAACACCGACAAAGAGTCCAATACTTCTTCCTGCAAGCATCACGTCATCCATAGAAGTACTGCCTTTAGTTTTCTTTGAGGCGTACAATCCAATTCCCAGAATGATTAAATAGAAGACAATAACGCCAATAAGGCCTCCCCAGTTCACCGCCATTTTCAGTTACTTGATCGCAAACCGTTCGCACAAAAGTTGAAACATCGAATGGAGAAAAGAGTCATTATCGAGGTCCCAGATTGTGTATATTTGACAAGGTGATGTTTGGCTTAGACTGAGTAAACATGGCCTAGTAATTCTCTCATACTGCACCTCCTTCTTGCGTGATAAACACGGTATTCTATTCAACTATAATCCAACAAAGCCATGCTATAATAAATGAATGTCAAAGCCAAACATCAGGCCAAATATTGTGTGCTTTAGATTAGATAAAAACAAACTTATTGTTCAATAATTAAACAACATGGACATTTGTATTAAGGTATATGCAAACGCGTCCACCAACACTTAAACCCTTCATTGGATATCTAGGCAACGAATTTTCCTTTATAGATTCATATTTTAACGTAAAGTCTTCCAATTATAATAAATTGTTAAACTCGTTCCTCAATATCAATCATTTCGTCCTGAGAAAAAAAAATGTCGTCCCAATATCTATCATTCCCTCCATTTAATAAATAAATGAACTCTCACTTTGTTAACCGAAATTCAACTACATACACAATATTGTTTAAAAGCATATTTTATAACTTTAAATATAAACAGCGTCGTTGATCATTGTGGAAATAGCCGCATTATAGGTCGGCATATTTCATTGTATTATTATTATTATCATTATCATTATTATCATTATTATTATAAGCATTTTAATTATTAGCATTATTATTAGCATTTGTATTAGTAGCATTATTATTATTAATAATATTATCAATACTAGCATTATTATTATTATTAGTCATTATTATAATCAATATTAGTATTATTAATTATATTAGCATTATTATTAGTGTGTGTGTGTGTGTATGTGTGTGTGTGTGGGTGTGGTGTGTGTGTGTGTATTAATTTGGCGTCGACATCCTGAAACATTTGTCAAGCAATGGACCGACAATAGCTGATGATATGATGATGAAGCCTTGAGTCTAGGTGACAAGTAATGTACCATATGGGATTACAACCGAGACAAAGTGTGGCCCAGCCGCAGGAAAAATCTTAGATGACCCACCCTTTGATAATTCCATATTCGGTTGGATCATTTTATTATTTTAACATCAATTTTATTTTAAAAATAATCTTTAGTTCATATACAGTATTACGCATATTGCAGTAAAAAAATAGGCCTATCCTAATAATAAATAAGCATAGGGCTATCAAAAAAACAAATTATACCATACCTCTAATAATGTAAACTCTACAATATTTATTGATCTATAGGAAAATACAGTTACAGATTTATTTATTGAAATAGCTAACTTAAATACGATAACAAAACTTACACAGTAGAGGATAAATTTGGAAGTAGCTGTATCCACAAATTGAATAAGCTACAAAAGTTGCGGCGTTTTTTTTAAAGAAAATATTTCTTGTTATTTATTTATATCTGCTCTTGTCTACCATTGAGCCCTCTGCTGGTAATACTGTAGAAAATAATACAGTGCTCAAATATATAGGAACATGACGTTGTAAACCGTGTCAAACTTAGTTCATCAACAAAAGTTCCATATCAGAGTCTGGCGGGAATAAAACCTGCAATCTCTCGCTATCTCGGTGAGCGTCATACTGTTTAGACCATAGAGCCCGTACGATATCATTACGGATCTAAGACCACTAGTGTCTCTCTCTCTCTCTCTCTCTCTCTCTATCTCTCTCTCTCGCTCGCGCTGTCCCTCTCCCTCTCTCTCCCTCTCTCTCTCCCTTTCTCTCTCTCTCTCTCCCTTCATAAAAACTAATTCCTCCATGCTTCTTACAACTTGAGGGCTCACACATAATAGCGATTTTATTATCTATTTGATTTATTTGTGAACGGTAATCGAAAGGTCTTCTGCATACGTTTTTTTTCCTCAAATATTTATTAGGCCTATTTTAAATTAACACCAGTAGAGTTGTATCTCCATGCCAAAGCTACTTCCATTATTATATACGTGTTTACATGTATAGCGCCGCATAAACTCATTATTGTCAGATAAAAATTGGACTTAAATGTCTATTATGAAACCAACGTGTTCGCTCGCTTACTAGTATGTTAAACATTGCGATAAAGTTTTCATAAATGGAACACAAAAATAAAAAAAAAACTAAAAGAAGATGGCCTAATTACAGACGGATAAACACCCCTTTTTATTAAATAGAAATCCAACAAATTTTATCTGTACCTTATGCGCGGTAGGTGTGGTGTAATACTGTACAATACTTTTACTGGTCGTGCCTACCGACCGATCTAGGAAAAGTTTTTTTTTCTTTTCTTTTTTTTTTAATCTCTAATGAAACAACCCCCTGGATACATGACAAGTCTTCAAATCCCCATGGAGAGCAAGGCCGCACATTAACTTGACGGATCTTCCAGTGTAGTAGTGTTTGGTCAGGTGGAATTTATGCACTCTAACCAACAAACAAATGAAAGACAAAATAACTACACAAAAAAATATAATTGCACAAAAAACACAGGCATAGCTGAAGTTGGATTATGGGCAAAAAGACGATATTTTTGCGAGTTTTAGCAAAAGAAAATCAACTTATTTTTTTACAAGGCCTTATATAGTGAGTCAAACCATGGAGGTATTATTGAGAAGGAGATCACTCGGCAACAGATCCCTTTGACGCGACAAACCCATGTGTTCCCCGCTTTTGGAGGCTGAGGCTATCGGCACTGCCGCAGTGCGAAAAAAAGCTGCTGTTTTCTATCGGCACTGCCGCAGTGCCAAAAAAGCTGCTGTTTTCTATCGGCACTGCCGCAGTGCCAAAAAAGCTGCTGTTTTCTATCGGCACTGCCACAGTGCGAAAAAAGCTGTTATTTTCTATCGGCATTATTGCCGCATTGCGAAAAAAGCTCCGATTTTCTATCGGCACTGCCGCAGTGCCAAAACACTGCAGTTTTCTATCGGCACTGCCACTCGAAAAGCTGCTGTTTAATTATCAAATGGATGTTTTTATCTATAGACTATGGTATCAATAATTGGTTAGGTCTAGCCTAGCCTATAATATTGTTAACATTATATTATATATGTTTTACAATTGAATTATAATTTTTCTAATTATTAAATATATACATAGCCTATATCTAGGCCCATACATAAAACAAAAAATAAAACAACAAAAATTTAAAATAAATTAGTAGTAGTAGGCCCCCTAGTAGTAGTAATAATATTAATAATAATAATAATAATAATAATAATAATAATAATAATAATAATAATAATAATAATAATAATAATAATATAATAATAACAGTGCTCGAAATGAATAAAAATTGTTTAATTAATGAGATGAATCAGCATATATTAAATCAA